GTAAATAATTGCTTTAATAAAGTGGGTGGAGGGTTATCATTTTTAAGATGTCCTAAAGATCCCAACAGGTAAGCTATATAAAATTTTTATTTTAAAATGCACGATATCTTCATTTCTGGTATATTATAATTCGTAAATTAAGCGAGTTCGTTTTCTAATGTACCTAATCAGTTAATAATTCGGATAAATTTTAATTTTTACGAATTTTTCTTCATTTTATAAATCACCCTTTGTATGTCGGAATCTAAAACAGAAACACTTTTCTGATTTTCTGACAGATACCTAACTAAAGAATTACTAGATTTCATTGCAAATTTTAAAAGTTATGAGATCTAAAAATTGTTCCAAAAAAATGTGTGGGTCACTTAGTTCGTTAACTTTTACAATTAATTTTTATTTTAGATGTGAAGAGGAAGCAAAAAATAGGATTTTTGGGAAATCACAGATATGCGTCCTTAAATAGCGAGGAGTGCTATGGAAGAAAAAACACGTATTAAGGCAAACGCGGTTCCGACTTTGTGTCTGGATATTAGTGTGGAATCGTCGGTTGACACTACATTAGGCTTACAAAACTGTTCCGAAAATTTATTTTATTTGGCGGATGTATCTACACAAACCCAGCCGGAAATATGTTTAAAGATTTTACAAAACTGCAATAAAATAAAAGAACCACTTGGGAGTTCTGATGTAGCCATACAAACTGTGCCTTTAAAAACAAAAACGCAAGGAAGTCAAACCAATAGTCATCTTTCTGCAAGTACACCTAGAAAATCCCGGTTAAGGAAGCACATACGAGAACTGGAAAAAGAAGCAAAAACCGAACAAAAACGTAAAATTACACTTGAAGAAATAAACAAACATTTGGGAGAAAATTATCCAGCGGAATTTGTGGCATTTTTCAAAGCACAGCTAGAGGTAATAAATAAAGCCCCCAAAGGTAGCCGTTACACAAACGAGTTTAAACAATTTGCTCTCTCTATTAATTTTTTGGGACCCAAAGTATATAAAAGACTTAAAACCACATTTAGACTTCCATCCAAATGTACTTTACAGAGAATAACAAGACATTGGATAAGTGCACCAGGCTACAATGATTTTCTCCTTGGAGCTCTTGAACTTACGAGTTAGTCTATTAGAATCGATTTCTAAAGATTGCTTAATTTGTGTGGATGAAATGTCTATTAAATCCAACCTTTTTTACGACATCTCTAAGGATAAAATCATTGGCTTTGAAGAAACTAATAATGCAACAACAACAGACATTGCTACGAGTGTTTTGGTGGTTATGGCAAAGGGAATTGCTAAAAATTGGAAAAAACCTATCACCTACTATTTTTTAAAAATTCAACGAAAACTAATGAACTTAAAGACATTTTATTTCAGTCGATTCAAAATTTAAGAAAAATTGGTCTTAATGTACTAGGCATTGTGTCTGATCAAGGACCAAATTTTTATAAACTAGTAAAAAGCGAGCTTAACCTTTCTCCTGAATTTCCTACATTCTTGGTAGGTGGATTACCTGTCTTATATTTTCTTGACACTCCGCATTTGTTGAAATCCACTAGAAATAACACGTTAATCATAATTTTGTAGTTAACAATAATTTAGTAAAAAAATGTTATTTGAAACAAATATACGAGTATGATAAGAAAAAACAGTATAGACTAGCGCATAAATTATCAAGTAAGCATATATATATATATCCAAATAGCTTTCAAAAAATGAAAGTTAAATATGCGACACAAGTGTTTAGCCACTCGGTGTCGGTTGCGATGCACACATATATATAGATTTTAATGTATTACCGCCCGAAGCTGTACCTACCGCTAATTTTATTGAAAAAATTAACGATTTTTTCGATATTCTTAATTCCAGTAATTTACAAAATTTTAACGTTTTTATGGGAACTGAAAAACAACTAAATTTTTTAAATGAAATGGAACTGTTGTTTAAAAATCTAAAAGTAATACAGGGAAAGGTGTAACAAATAAAATGAAATTTATTTACAGTTGGCAATTAACCCTTTCATCACTTTTACATTTATGGAAAATATTAAAAGAAAAAAAAACGATTATAAATGTTTGTTAACACGTCACCTAAATCAAGACTGTTTAGAAAATGTTTTCGGAAAAATTAGGAATGGTTGCGGAAATGCAAAAAATCCGACACCAATACAGTTTTCGAGGGCATTTAAAAAAATGCTTGCCCTTAACTTCTTTGAGGAAATGGAGGGAACTAATTGCTTAAACGACATGCATGAAATTGTATTAAATATTTCTCCAGATATTTCAGAAAAATGCAAAAATGTAATAATCACACCTAAAATTAATATTTGAAAAGTATACACCTCAGACTACCAGAATTTTGATAAACCCGAAGCAAACTGTCTGATATATGTGGGGGGATATTTATTAAAAAAAATGTTTAAAGCAACACTCATGTCTTGAATGCGAGGAATATCTAAGAAGCAGTGACCTTCAACGTGAAGGAACTATTTTTTCTCGTAGAAAGGCATACAGAAGTACAGAAGAAAAACCTTATGGAGGGCTTACTATGCCCTCAACATCTTTTGTGAACTTTTTAATTTCATTAGAAGATATGTATGTTCAAAATTTTAATCTCTTGGCTGGAAAGGTTGGCATAGGGAAATTACTAATGGCTAAGTTTTTTGAAGTCAGACTTTCTCATCCTTGTCCTAATTTCCCTCTGACATACTGTGTTAGTTTATATACTAGGGTAAGAATATACTATACTTTAAAATTCGCCAACAGGGAATTAAAAACACAAAAAATTAACAAGCAATCCACTAAAATAACTATTTTAAAAAATATGTAACTTATCTTTTTTTATAATAGGAAAAAATAACTTTAGTCATATAAAGATACAAAAATTGTTAAAATAACTAGTGGATGCATTTTTTGTTACATATTTTTTATTACATAAATACCTAAAAAACCACCAAACAAATCGTTTTAATTAAAGTCCTATGCGCCCTTCCTTTATATTTTTTTGGTACAACGATTTATTTACCTTTATTTAAAATTTGTTTTATACTTCCATGTATGGATAACTTGTATCTAAGAAACCCATTAAGCCAATTAAAAATTACGTTAACTGTTGCTGTTTAAAATTAAAACATGAATAAAAATATAAGAATTACTAACTGAACAATAACTTTTAGCAAATACTTATCAAATCCACCCGTATAGTAGACGCAAACTGGCTGCCGGTGTTTGGTCAGCGTTTTCACTTTGATGTGAAAACATCAATGGTTTTTGACGAAGTGACTCTACTCTATGAATCGTATACCGTGGTTTAACATCGAGAGAAACTATCATAGACAAAAGATTATCATCATGTCCGATAGTCAAGCAGCCATCAAAGCACTGAGCTCTTAAGTAATCAGCTCAAAAATGGTCTGGAGATGCCTAGAACAATTGAATGAGCTAGGCGAGAAAAATAGAGTTACTCTCACTTGGGTCCCGAGACATAACGGGGTACAGGGTAAGGAGATTGCAGATAGTCTTGCAAGAAAAGGGGGGCTCAAACGCCCTTTGTAGGACCAGAGCCGTTCTGCGGTATCATAACATAATATTAGGAGAGATTAAAAAAAGAATTGGACAGTAGAAGAACCGATAATTGGAACAATCTCTTGGGGCTGAGACAGGCTAAGATACTTCTGGGTGAATATAACCAGAAAAGATCGGAAGCCTGCATCTGCTTGAGCAAGAACAGGCTAAGTATTGTAACAGGGATCCTTACCGGGCATTGCCGACTAAAAGGACACCTTAGTAAACTGAGAATAGTATAGGATAGTGAGTGCAGATTCTGTGAGGAGGAGGAGGACGACGAAATCTCCATTCACATTCTAACTGAGGCCCGTATTTATAAACCGAACTTACCTGAGTCGGACTTGGGGTAAATCGTCCTTGAACTAAAATCGAAGTTCGGTTACAACGTCTCTAAAGTTCTAGGTGGTTCTGGTGTTAGACTGGAATTTTGAGATGGATATTAGCAAATCTGTAACTGTTATGTACATCTACGGATTTGTTACTACCCATCTCTAAATTCATGCGATATACCCGAACTTCGATTTTCTTTCAAGGATGACTTACCCAAGTCCAACTCACCTGAGTTTTGTTTATAAATACGGACCTGAATGTGTAGCACTCCAGAATCCAAGGGTACTATATTTAGGAGGGTATCAAATAGAAGAGGGAAATTTACCTAAATTGAAGCCAGTCCAAATCCTACACTTCCTTGAGTTGTTGCATTAGCGACAAAAGGGAGCACACTAGATCTTTTAGTTCGCAGTGTATTAACGCCCCATTCCCAATATTAATTTGTTTGGTATCTTTATTATGCATTTCATATTAGCAACATGAACGTGTTCAAGGCAAGTTTGTCAAATATATTCTTCAAAAACTTAACTTCTTCATTGAGAATATAGATTACAACATTATACATCAATTAACTGGTCATCAAAGCTTGGAATATTGTCAAAAATGTGCTGTTTTTTGTCTACATCAATTACTAGATTAACTGCAAAATCAGATACATCAGAGGAAGATATTTAATTTATATATTTCCAGTTTCACAGGATTAATTAAGGTTCAATTTTAATAGTTAATTGATCGTGTCGGAATTTTAATGCCTTCGGCAATCTTTATATTTTTAATATTAGTTTATCTAAATGTCAATGTAATTATTTTTGTCTCCAAGTATTTAGAATTATTTCTGTAATGTATGCATTATGTTTAAACATAAGTAAAAAATTATGTAAAAAGTAAATTACATTTCAGAGATATTGTTTGATATGACATAAGACTTTTTAAAATCCAGATGCACACTTCAAGAGTACTTTACAAAAAGAAACTTTTGACTGTAAGTATGCCATTTAATTTTTATTTAATATGGATTTGACCCTTGGTCCTTGGCTATGGAAATTTTACATATTTCAAGGTAGTATAATAGGCACGTTTTGTTGTACCATAACCCGATCCGGTTCTGAGCATTGTAAGCGTTTTGTTGGGCATTCAAACCCATTCCTATTCTTGTTTTCATTCCCTCTTACGACTTGGTTTGAAAAACGGAATGACAAATGAAAGTGGATTTATTTGTGTTCTATGATTTGTACTCTAACCTCTAAATCAGCAATTTTCGAAAACAAAGAAGGCTTTTTAAAGTTTTTGCCAATTCACAATGAATCGAAAACCTCTAAACGGCGAAATCATCAAAACGGATGATGGTCAATATATTCGGTACAATACACAAAGTAAGTTTTGAATATCTGAAGCCAGTGAGGGGTTCTCATTACCTACTTAATTTTATTTTTTAGTAGGCGGCTATGAACTTCTGGAAGGTGTTTTTGTCGATCAGCTGAATCATACCCTATCTACAGAACAGCCTGCAAATCCTGTAGACATTAGTACAGCTAATCTAGATGAAGATGCGCTTGTAGAAGATGAGCTTGTAGAAGATGAACTTGTAGAAGATGCCTCTTGTGCAAATATGTTGAAGAAAAGACGGTTGTGGGATTTAAGTACAACTCTACTTATGATGGATGAATGTACCACTTTCAAAATGGAGTTAGTAGATCCAAAAATAAAAAACACTGCAATTTATAAAAATATCTCAAAGAAAATGGTAGAACATGGACACAACTTTACACCAGAACAAATACAGAACCGAATGAAGACATTGATAAATAAATATAAAGAGGTTAGAGATCACAATAATAAAAGTGGTAATTCTTTCAAAGATTGGGAGTACTATGAAATAATGGAAAATTATATGGGACAAACTCCAAATATAACCCCCATAGCTTCCTGCTCTAGTTTGGGAATAAACATTATCAATGCTATACATTCTAAAATACCAATGACTGGGAAAAATAAACGTCAGAGCTCTGATTCTGAAGAAGGCTCCTCTTCGACAATATCTAAACGTTATCCATTACATTCCAGAAATAACTCTGATGTTAGTACCAAGAATGGGGCAAGTGATGAATCCCCTAATCGTTCCAAAAGATTTCGTACTAGCCCCAGAGTTGAAATGGTTGCATTCTTGAAAGACTACAAAGAGGATATGAAAAAAAGAGACGCCGAAAGGATGAAAATGATGCAGCAGCATCATGAGGAAAACAAAGAAATGGTCTCTGAACTGATATCAATGCTCAAGGAAACCAAACAAGAATAACATGAAAAAGTTGTTAAAATGATTTGTGTTTTAAGATGGAATGTCTGTTTTTTTATTTTCGTTCTAGTTTTCTTTTATTCTGAATAGGATATATGTTTCGTTATATTACAATAGAAATGAGTTATTTTGATTTAGAAATTATGGTTGTGAAAAAAAGTTTAATTTTTGTGAAAGATAATTAAACACTTTTGATTAATTTTGGTTTTATTTTTAAAATGCTTACAGAACTTCATTACAATAAGTACCAAGAAAAATAATGAAATATAAATTTTGTTAATCTCATATTCTCTGAGCTCTTGGAGCGTGATCCCACAAATATTGTGTGAGAGCCTCCCTTATCTGTTGACCATCATCATTCCCAATATCATAGTTCTCTGCCCTATTTTCTAGAAGGTCTATTTGTCTCATACCTTCTTCAATAAAAGAATGAACATCACCTTCATGCATTATGCATATATTATGGAGAACACAACAAGCTATCACTGTATTTACAATGTGTTGCATGTCAACCATATCAAGGCAATTGAGGAGTCTACGAAACCTGCCCTTCAATAAGGCAAAAGAATTTTCTATTTTAACTCTTGTTTTTGATAGTATGAAATTAAATTTTTTTTGTTGTGTCAATAAACCATTATTTCTGTAAGGGGTAATCACCCAATTTTTGCAAGGATAGGCTGCATCTGCTACAATGAAAAAATGGGGAGCACATAGTTCTTCACACAATGGGTAAATTTCAGATGTACGAAATACCCTAGAATCATGTACATTTCCTGGCCACCTACAGTCTACATCAGTGAACATTAAATTTGGAGCACATATTGCTTGTAGTACAACTGAATAATATTTTTTTTTTCCTATTAAAATAATAAATACCATTTTCTGATGGTTTCCTTATGGGTATGTGGCACCCATCTAATGCTCCAATAGCATGTGGGAGGCCATATCTAGAAAAAATTTGTGACAACATGTTTCTATGTTGGATGTAGCACTCCAGAATCCAAGGGCACTATATCTAGGAGGATATCAAATAGAAGAGGGAGACTTACCTAACTTGAAGCCACTTCAAATCCTACACTTCCTTGAGAAAATAGGATTGGAAGGGTCGCTATAGGCATAGAGACATTTCCTTAGTGCAGTGGCGACAGAATGGGGCACAATAGATCTTTTAGGTCGCAGTGTATTAACACCCCATTATCAACATAACATTCTATGTTGGATGGTAGGCCACTTAATAATCAATTTACACAAGTATTTTATTATCGCACTGACAGTAACATGAACTGAATTATGCACTGTACTTTTGGCCACTCCAAACCTATCACCTATTGAGCGATAACTTTCAGGTGTTCCTAGAGTCCATATGGCAATGAGTACAGTTTTTTCCACACATAATTGTGATTGACCACCATAGATATTCTCATCACGTTTTATAAATTCAGGGTATTGGGAGAGGTGCCCTAATATAACTTCAAATGTTGATCGACACATGCGAAAATGTGATTTGAAAGTATCTAAATGGAGGGAAGGAATTACTTCTTCATAAAAGTTTCTGCACTTTGGGATATTCCGGTTGACCATCCTAAAACATCCAACAATGAGTTATTAATGAATAAGTATCATAATCATAAGAATCAACAGACATAATGATGACTTGCTCGAGGATTCTCCCATCCAAGGCATAGATGTCTTCTGAAAATTCCAACATAACTTTTCTGCTTTGTTGGTTAATAACCATCGCTATCAAATTAGCCAATATCAAGTCTCGATTCATGACTTCATTTACGATTAGGAAAATGAAATTTAACATAAAAGTAATAAATCCTAAATAAACATAAGACATACGTAACAATTTTCAAGGTTAAGAGTTACAGAATTCCATATGTCAAAAGTGTCAATTACATCCCCTCACCATAGATGTCTTCTGAAAATTCCAACATAACTTTTCTGCTTTGTTGGTTAATAACCATCGCTATCAAATTAGCCAATATCAAGTCTCGATTCATGACTTCATTTACGATTAGGAAAATAAAAAAAAAAATGAAATTTAACATAAAAGTAATAAATCCTAAATAAACATAAGACATAAGTAACAATTTTTAAGGTTAAGAGTTACAGAATTCCATATGTCAAAAGTGTCAATTACATCCCCTCACCAATCCGTTTTCTTGTGTCCACTCATTCTGTTACTTCCGGAATGGAACAACAAAACGCACCTAATATCAATTAATATTTTTTACATGCTTGTGATATTTAATTTTTATCATTGGAAACAGCGTTGTCAAATTATCTAAGATGAAAAAATCTCGGACCTAGAGAAATTTATAATCAGTACATAATAAAAATAAGCCCACTGGTAATTTAGGTGCATTGCCTTATTATCCCTGTTAAATGATCGATTATTGTCCAATTTTCGATATAAACTATGAATATATTAATTTCTTTGGAATGTTCTAAAAGATAAAATGCTATATGTTATGTCCAATTATAGAAGATAATCTAATTTCAGAATATATGGAATCTGCAGAACTGTGTTCATGTCTCATAGTGGGTGAATTAAATAATATAAACACATAATTACTATGCAGTATAGGTATTTAGATATTATACTGAAGGCAGTTCTACATACTGTTATTAAAAAGGTACATTATACAAGTGTAAATTAAAAATTTAAAAAAACCGACTTCAAAAACGTGCAGATGCCATCACAACATCTTAACCAAATTTATATGGGATCACCCCTGAGGTACCCCCTTTCTAACAAAAAAAGAATCATATAAATCGGACAAGGTAGTAAAGCATTATCGCTAAACATACATAAAAAATGAAGAGTTTGAGGATTTTCTCATGGACCCAATTTTTAGATTTTGACCAAATTTATATGGGACCACCCCTGAAGTAGCCCCTTTCTAACAAAAAAAGAATTATTGAAATCGGACACCGTGTTAAAGAATTATCGCTGAACATACATAAAAAAAAAAAAAATATCGCGACGAAGATGTGTGTGAATTTGTTGGAACAAAAAGGTCAGGTTTATTTTACTCCAATAAAATCCGGTTTTTCATACGGGAAATTACGGTCTTTTAAGTTCATTTTTATACCAAAATAAAACCAGATTTATTATCTATACGTAGTGAGTGTTATCCAGTGAAAAATAGTTGTTGTTAAGTATAACTTCATTTTAAATCACAAAACTTAACCAAAACAAGTTTTTTTTTACTAAAAGTCAAAAAACATTTTGTGATAAAGGCAATCTCAATTAGTTGGAACTCGATAGTCAAGGAGCTTTTTGCTGCAAAATTTAATAGTTTTGCGATAGTCCAGGAGAAATTGTATATTTTTAAAAATGGTAAGCAACTGTATCACCTGTGACAGTACTGTTGTAGACTCTGAAAAATTTATAAATTGCGACAGTTGTCATTCGACAATGCACTTATCAGATAGTTGCACTGGTCTTACAGCTTCTGAGTTACGAGCCATAGTTATTCAGAAAAGGACCTTAGTTTACTTTTGCCCAGATTGTCGCACAGCCTTTAAGAGTGTCCCAGCTCTTCTGAACCAAATGGCAATACTAAGAAAAGAGATCACTTATCTTAAAAAGGAAATAGATCAGCTACCAGTTTTATCTAAAGCAATTGACGACGTAACATCGGAGCTAGAAGCCCTTAAGGCTAAGGTGGAAAACCAAAACCGACAAGCAACTGCCAATTCGGCACTAACCACAAACAATGATTATCCGGCCCTAACCACAAGCAATCAAGATATCATGTCCGAGTTATACGAACGTGAAAAACGATCCCATAACGTTATGTTCTTCAACCTAGCAGACAGCGACAACGATCATGCAGAAGTACAAAAATTAATTAGTAAGGCAACTTCAGAACCCATTACAATCAAAAACCTAGCACGAGTTGGTAAAGCTAACAAAAATGGTTTTCGATCTTTAAAAGTGCAGCTATCTAGCAAAGTTGAAGTCACAAACGTCCTGAATGGTAGAGCCAACCTAAAAACAACCAAAGTGTTTGTCAATGCAGATCTAACCAAAAAACAACAAGAAGCTGAAAAATCTGCCCAGCATGAATTACAAACTAGACGATCTAATGGGGAAGAAGTGCGCATAAGATATGTAAATGGAAATCCTACAGTGATTAAAAAAAACTAGTTAATCCTTATAGAGATACTTCAAGTCGCCACACATCTAACAAAAAAGGCACCATAACAGTATATTATCAAAATGTTCGCGGCATCCGTACAAAGTTGCATACTTTGTTGGAAAATGTTACATCTTGTGAGTATGATATAATTGTAATTACTGAAACATGGCTGACAAATGGTCACACCAACTCAGAACTTAATATGATCAACTACAATATTTATAGAAAGGATCGTACACAAGAAACTAGTAACTATTCTAGAGGTGGTGGCGTACTCATTGCAGTTCACAAAGCTATCAACTCCAAAGTTATTAAATCATCTCAAAATTATGAATATCTGTTTGTACTATTGGGCCAAGCCAACTCTCAGTATATTTTATCTGTTGCCTATTTCCACCCAAAATCACCTACTGCTGCATATATTTCACTGAGTGAAGAACTGGACCAAATTTATGAACAATTTCCCAGTGCTCAACTTTGCATTCTTGGAGACTTTAATCTCCCTCATAGTGCCTGGTTAAATGATGACTTGAGTTCAATAGCTGCACCATTATTCAAGGCATCACCATCAGAAGCTCAATCTCTTGAAGTCTTATCTAATATGTGTGCTTTTCATAACTTATTTCAACTTAACTCTATCCATAACAATGTAAATTCAATTTTAGACTTAATTTTTATGCAAAATCACAATGTATCTGTAGAAAGAGCTGACTTCAACATTGTACCAATAGACGGTTTTCATCCACCTTTAATGTTTAAGTTAAGTTTTATTGACAGTAACCAAGCTGGTTTAACGCCTGAAGGTTTTTATAGAGATTTTAAATCGGCAGATACTAGGTCAATCATAATATTTTTAAGCAGTTTCATTTGGGAAGAAGTATTTTATAATCAAACTCTTGAAAACATGGTAAATATTTTATATAATATTCTATATTTAGCTATTGATCTATATGTACCACTGAAAAAATTCTGTAACACAACATTTCCTAGATGGTATTCCACAGAACTGAGAAACTGTATAATAACTAAAAAAAGAGCTCATAAAAAATACAAAATAACTAATTCATTACAAGATTATCAAGAGTTTGCAAGACTTAGATCACTTTGTAAAAGACTGGTAAAAGAATCGCATCACAATTATATTTCTCAAACAGAATCTTCAATACCAAATAACTTAAAACAGTTTTGGAAATTTGTAAATGACAAAAGAAAAACCTCAAACTTTCCAAGTGAATTAATATATAATGGCATAACAAGTTCTAGTGGCAATGATATAGTTAATTTGTTTGCTGATTTTTTTTCAAAAGTATATGTTCATAATGATTGTGATATTTCAAAGGTACCTGTATATGTCAATAACATAAATATATTTAACTGTGATATTAAAATATCCGATGTTTATACTAAACTAGCAGCTTTAGATATTCGTAAGTGTCCTGGGCCGGATGGAATTCCTCCATCTATTCTAAAACCATGTTCTTTTATTTTAGCACGACCACTGTTCATAATTTTTAACTTTTCTCTCTCTCTGGGCATATTTCCAACAGTCTGGAAGATAAGTTATATAACACCAATTTTTAAATCTGGCAACAAATCCGAAGTAAAGAACTATCGAGGAATCAGTATCTTGAGTACCATACCAAAATTATTTGAAAATCTGGTTTGCGAACCTTTAACATCTTCACTCAACAATATACTCATAGATCAACAATTTGGCTTTAGACGTAAAAGTTCAACAGAATTAAATTTATTAACATATTCCCACTACCTGTCAAATGCCCTTGAAAATGGATATGAAGTGCATTCTATTTATACTGATTTCTCCAAAGCCTTTGACCGGGTAAACCATAGAGTTTTAATCCACAAATTGAAAATGGCTGGGGTAAATGGATCACTTTTAAATTGGTTAGAAAGCTATTTAATTGATAGACGTCAAATTGTACATATTTCAAACTACAAGTCATACGGCATACACGTACCTTCAGGCGTCCCGCAGGGCTCACATCTAGGACCACTACTTTTTAATATATTTGTAAACGATATTAAATCCTGTTTTCATTTCGGTAAATTCCTTTTATTTGCAGATGATCTCAAACTGTACTCTACAGTATCATCTGACCTTCACTGTGTGTCATTGCAGTCTGATTTAGATAACCTAGTCAATTGGTGTGACTTAAATGGAATGAGCCTAAATTCGGATAAATGTAATGTTATCATATTCCATCGAACTCGTGATACAATTAATTTTCAATATACAATCAGTGCCAATATCTTGGAGAACTGCAATATTATTAGAGATCTAGGGGTCAACTTTGACTCACAACTATCTTTTGTTCCACATATTTCAAATATTATCAACAAATCTCTACAGATGTTAGGATTTCTAAAAAGAACTACTCAGGATTTCTCAAACATCAACACACTTAAAATCTTATATTGTTCTTTAGTTAGAACTCATTTAGAATACGCTTCATGTGTTTGGTCCCCAAACTATGTCTCACATATTGTCAAATTAGAAAGAGTCCAGCATAAGTTCTTACGTTATGTGGCCTTTAAGCAGGGTATTGGAGTCGAAGATATTAACTACTCTAAATTGGAGACAGATTTGAATATCCAATCTATTAATAGCCGTCGAAACAAGAAAGATTTCATAATGTTATATAACATATTTAATTCTCGAGTACCGTGTCCTCAATTGTTGCAAGAGATAGGAATTCACGTCCCACCCAGGACAACCCGCTCAGCGAACATTTTTCAAATACCCTTCCACAGGACGAATTATGGACGTAATACCTTCATTGTTCGTTCTGCTAGGTTCGCAAATACTTACCGTGCTGACCTCGATTTCTTTAGCTCCGTCAGCTCATTTATGGAGACTCTCAGGGGTGCAGTTTAGTATAATGTATTGTAATGGTACTTATTAAAGGTGTATTTTTACTTATTTTTTTATAAATGTACTTTATTAACTGTACTATAGTACTATTTGTATTTTATCTATTTTAACTATTATTTGTATTATTTAATTTGTAACTTTATTTTATTAATCGAAATTATACTGTGTAATGCTATACATAACATTGTATTTAACTAAAAGGGGAATGTCCCGTTTATATATATAAATAAATAAATAAATGAATTGATAACCTCCTCCTTTTTTAAAGTCGGTTAAAAATTATCCTCTCCAACAATATAGACAAGGGGCATTTTTCATCAAAGTGAATTTTCTAAGATTTGGTATACCAAAAGAAAAAATGGAAAAAGACGTGACATTACACTTTTTGATGAGCTGTTTGTGGAAGTGTTACTATACAAAGTGAGCCATTCATAGCCACTCCTGATTTCGAAAGAAACTCAAGGGCATATATTATAGATGCAAGGTTTTTAATTTTAATGAGTTGCCTTTTAAACTTAAGGAATCCTCAAAGTTTTTTTAATTCATTTAGCTTTTTATCTTTTTTTATTATGGTTAATTTTTTGATGCATCTCATTTATATAAATATATACAGGGTGTTTCAAAATGGTATGTCATAAATTCATCCTCAAATAGATTATCAAAAAATAAGTGGATTTGGCTATATTTACCTACATCAAAAACTGGCTCCCAACAAAGTTACAGGGTATTAAACTAACATTCAGAAAAACGTTTTTTTTTTTGTAAAAAGTTTACTGTTGCGATTTTTTTTTCGAAATTTTTTCCAGTGCTGTATATTTGAAGGCCCAATATTCTAAGGAGAAAAAAAAATTAAAGCGACCCCTTTAAAAAAAGTTGGGGGGGTTGGGTACCTTTTAACCCCCGTATTTTTTGACATAAAGAAACTTGCTTTATTGATCTTAAAATCAAAAATAACTATAAATTTTTAAAAATTTTTTATAGCGAAATGAACTTTGTATCTATCTTATTTAACGAGCTATTTACAATTTTTTAACTGAATTTCTAGAGCATACCGTCCGTCCTGGACTTAACATATCAACAAAAGAGTAGGTCAGGACTTATTGTACAAAAAACGCATGTAAAAATCAGTGGTGTGTCTAGGGGTGTGCTTGAGCCGCCCCTGCAAAAACTACCTCTTTTATTTATATTTTTGAATTCAAGACTGTTGGGTTCTAATTAACAGTGCTGTTCCTAAAGTGGCGCTAGGAAACAGTCACAAAGCCTACACAGAACACGAGGCTAATGGCCTTAGTAGTCGATGCCGATGACACCAAATTAAAGAAAAAAGGAGGACATGTTGAATATTTACTAAATTAAATAGTTTATAAAATACATATAATAATTATTACCAAATGTTCATTTATAATTGTTAATTTTTTATTAATTGTTTAATTAAAAAAATAATTTGTTTATTTACTAAATTTAATAAATACATTTCCCAACTAACATGTATTTTTATCAGTGGCATGGTGGACCCATGAGTACGGGTTTTTATGGCGCCAATCCAATATTATAAATTCCTTTTTTGCAAAAATATAAATAAAAGAGGTAGTTTTTGCAGGGGCGACTCAAGCACAGCACTAGACAAACCACTGATTTTTATATGCGTTTTCTGTACAATAACTCCTGACCTACTCTTAGTTTTGTTGATATGTTAAGTCAAGTCCAGAACGGACGAATTGATCTAGAAATTCAGTTAAAAAATTGTAAATAGCTCCTTAACTAAGAAAGATACAAAGTTCATTTTGCTATAAAAAATTTTTAAAAATTCATAGTTCTTTTTGATTTTAGGATCGATAAAGCAAGTTTCTTTATGTCAAAAAAAATACGGGTGGGGGGGGAGGTGGGTTAAAACTTAAAAGGTACCCAACCCCCCAACTTTTTTCAAAGGGTCGCTTTAAATTTCTTTTTCTCCTTAGAATATTGGTCCTTCAAATCTACAGCACTGGCAAAAATTTCGAAGAAAAAATCGCAACAGCAAACTTTTTACAAAAAAAAACGTTCTTCTGAATGTTAGTTTAACACCCTGTAACTTTGTTGGGAGCCAGCTTTTGATATAGGTAAATATAGCCAAATCCACTTATTTTTTGGTAATCTATCTAAGGATGAATTTATGACATACCTTTTTGAAACACCCTGTAATTATGTTTTGTTTGTATTTTGAATTTTTTTGATGAATTAATATTTTTTTTGTTTCTTTAAAATTTAGGTAATACCCTTAACTGTAACAAACTATGATTTCATTAAAAGTTACAGTTGGATTACTTTTTATTTATGCATTTTCATGGTATTTAATATTTTAATATTATTTATTAAATTCAAGAATTTTTAATTTTCAGTTCAAAAATAAAGCCAATGTATATCTTAAACTGAGGATGTCCACAACCAATTTGAATTGCCCAAAAGCGAGAGTGAAAGAAAAAATATATTTTTGACTTATACCTGTGCAATTAGCACTCGAGCTAAAAACACAATGAGGAGGAGAATTGCTGCACACCATCTGTTTTTGCGCCATGGTACTGTCCTGTCCACCACTCCTTGGTACCACTAAAAAAACAAATTATTTAAACTTTACCTGCTTAGTAATAATACGTAATCCAAATAGAAGGAGTAGAGTTATACAACTGGCCCATCTACCACGTGTATGTGGAGTCCACTTATCCAAAATACTTTGATGAATCTGGGAGTTTTAATAAACATAATTACAAACAAATTGAGCTTTTCAAGAAATCTATCTAACTTATTAAATATGATTAATTAAATTTAAATTAATTTTTTTTAAATAAATTTATATATATTTCTGAATAAATCTTGTTAAATAAACAAAAACATCATAAGTAAAAATAACTTAAGGTACCTAGATAACTTTTTTTAATTTTAATATATTTAATAAAAATGGAAGAACCAGAAACCATTTTAGAGTACCGACATAGTATAGTAATTTTTACTAGAAATATGTATGCTTACTTTTCTCCTAATTAAAAAGAGGTCAAACTAGAAAATGACCACATTGTTCTATATACTTTGTTAACACTTTCACTGCCCACAACGCAGCTCCCGCATTTGGCTGGGTCAAATCAATGTGCCCACAACATGGTTACCGAGTTTGGGATATATTGGATAGTGTTAATTTTGCAAAAAAAAAATGGTTGGGTATTTGTATAGCTAGGTGTCCTAACCACTTCTCCTGAATTTTTTTTACCTGTTTACCAAAGTCTATGAAAGTAAACCGATATACATCCAAAAAGAAAAGTCAAACTGCATTTTTAAAAGTATGGTGGACATTGAATATGTTCAGGATTAGGGAGCTGAGCAGTGAAAGATGTAAATATTTGTGACTTTATATTTAAAAAATGTTTAAATACATATTCAGTATTTCTCAAGATATGTTTATTAATGAACATATATAGAAACAAATATTTACTTGTACAAATAATTTTAATTCACCAATCAAAATTACTATAAGTATAATGTAATTTATTAGAACATAAAAATTCTTCATTTCACTCATATTGTAAAAAACATTAAATTTTTTATTAATTACATACTTCCTTTATAATACATGAACATAATAGTGTATGGTTTTTAAAGACCTTTTTGCCTATGTTTATGTATTCAATTGCAAAGTTGTAAAATTTGTAATTGGGCTCACCTGTGAAACCCTTGTGCAGAATTGGGAAAGAGCATTTTTCTTAGTACTTGAAGTTAATAATTCCTCTTCCATGATTGAGAAAATTCAGTATCCTAAAAATAAACCTAAATAATTCCAGGACAAGTACTTACTGAATAAGTACGCAATTTTTAGAAAAACTGTCGAATTGATACGATTTCGAAGTATGAATTATGTCTATACATACCTAATTAGATAACTTATTATAAGAAGGTAATTAAAATAAAAATGTTTTAACTACTAATCCATTTTTGTACACGTCGATCTGTCATCTCCAAATATTTTTGACGTTCATGTCATGACACATGACGTAAACCAACAATTAATATAAAAAAGAAGATTTCTTCTTTTTTAGTTTTGTATGGGCTCAATCCTTGCGGATTATTTACCCAGAATATGTTTTTCTTTGGTTCTTATTAGGTTTGTTCCAACTTGATACATAACCATTCCGTAACGGTACAGCGCATGCGTATTGCACTCCAAGCGTTCCAACTTAATTTGTACGATGTGCGGGTTGATACATAATTCGTTCCAACTAAAAAATGGATGATTCCGGAATCGTTTCTGTACCGTCATATCGATTCACAAATTTTTGTGGAACTGTTAGAACTGACTTGCGCAAAGCGATCGATATATGTTGATAGAGCCGATAGAGGTTAGTTTTAGTTAATTTGACCTACATATTTACAGCGTTTTTTATGTTTTGATAGGTAGATAATAACAAAATATACATTTTTATTTAGAAAATACTGTTTATAAATCATATTTGGAAAATCAGTGATATAGAAGGAGACAGTGATTTTTTTGATGATGATGATGCTAGTGACGATGATTTAGAATTAATGGTAAATTGAGAAAGGATAATAAAGAAAATTATTTGAACAGAATATATTCATTATTTACCCATATTTTCCATTGTGCTCTAGAATATAGAATGATACAATAAAAAATCAATAACATCCATAATTATAAAACAGAAAACTAGTTTATTTTTATTTTCTATTCGAAAAGTTTGGTTAGAATTTTCTTCCTCTTCTATTTTATCTATTTATGAAACATCAGCAGTTTTAAAAGCGTTCCAACTCATTTTCGATTCCAAAACCATTCAGAGATGGGCTTGCGCAGTACATCGCTCATAAACTGATATGGTATGATACAAGAACGGTACCAAACACCAAGTTGGAACAAACCTATAGACAGGGCCGTCTAGAGGGGTGGTGGGAGGGGGCAGCCGGGACGAAGGGGCCTATTCAGTAACTCTGAACGACGTCGTCTGTGGACGTCGTTAATAGACGATAATCGTTCACAGACGACTTTTCTTATTCAGTAGACAACGATTGTCGTTGAAAATAGACAAACATGGTTGTAAAATTGTCGTTCATCAACGATAGCCAAAGAGCTGTCGTTAATAATATGAAGTGTCGTTATAGTGATTTTTGCATTCCCTCTCATTTTTTATTGTGAATCAGGATATGTTCTAAATAATAAAAACACTTTTTTACAAATTTTACAACTAAATTGCCATATACCTAATACAGCAAGTAAAATTTGTAAGGAATTTTTTTCTAATTTATTTAATTATTTTAAAAATAAATCTGATTCAAAGTTAGGATTGCCCATTCAATCATTTACTATTGGATTCTTATTAACAGTGATGTTCCTAAAGTAGCACTGCGAAACTGTAACAAAACCTATATTATGGAAGTACCTATAATACTTCTCCATAACCTACACAAATTTGGTTTGTTTTTCAAATACAATAAATACAACTTGTACTCTGTTCTCCAGTTGTTTTTTGTTTTTTTTTAATATATCCATACTCATTTAAATAAACCCTACATACAATATGACCAGCAAAAATGGCCCGCGAGAAACAGAATTCCTACGAATCGAGAATCGACCCCCTGATCGTGTGGTAGAATTTTTATTTTACGTTCAAAAAAAAAGTCAAATATACCGGGTGTTCAAATTAAAGGGTTACAGTTAAATACCGCCTTTTATAAAAAAATCAAAGTTTAATAATTTTTTGGGTAAAACATTTTAGCTAAAATTGTTTTTTTATAGCAAACCATAATATGGCCAACTTTTTTTCGCGCAGCAAAATTTTCAAGTAGATGTTACTCAATAAGTAGAAATCCAATAAAAAAATGATTCCTTTAGAAGTTTCAGGGCACCTATCCTCGACTGGTGCTTTAATCAATGCGAATGCGCATTTACTAAATGCGAATGCGTATTTGCTCAAAAGCGTGTTGTAGCTACTCTTGATCGTTCGAATTTATATTGCGGGTGCGCATTTGACAGCGAGTGGGTTTTTGCTCTTCGCATTCAAATGCGAAGGTCCAAAGAGCTTGCGAAGGTCTAACTGGATGCACGTTTTAATATTGTAGTGTTTTTGTTTTGTTTCATAAATTGATCGTGACATGATGGCAAATATAATTTTTTTAAATATCTTATTACAAATTAGAAGAGGCAAATAATCATCCTCGAAGAGTTTATGATGATAGGAAAGCTCCTTTCAGACTTTCTGATCAAGCGTTTATCAGATTGTTTCGGTTAATTATATGTGTCTTTTTACTAATATTTTCCATTTTATAACGCTGCAAATTATGTATAGCCAAACAGTACATCAAAAAACAACCCAAAACCACGACTTCATGCTCAAAACCATTACTCATATTAATATTGCTTCTTTTTTGCGAATAATTTTCACAAAACAAGCGGTGTGAACTTTGAGTCCCCTTTCTAGCAGACAATTTAACATAAATAATCGTCGATCATACATGGTTGCCAAGTTGCCATTCGCATTTATAAAAGAGGATTACGAAGGCACAGATACGAAGGGTTAAGAATACGGTTTCTAATGCGTCTTCGCATTGAACCACTCGCATCTCTTCAAAGCGAGCGCTTAAACGCACTAGTCGAGGATAGGTGCCCTGGTTTTTTTATGAACTCTAAGAATACCTATGTAAAAAAATAGGGTTCCAATTTGAAAAAAAATCCACCTCGATATGGCCATATTATGGTCAGCTATAAAAAAAATAATTTAGCCAAAATGTTTCCCCTAAAAAACTATAAAACTTTTGTCTGATGCTTTTTTTTATAAAATGCATATTTTTGGCGATATTTAACTGTAAAACTTTAATTTAAACGCCCGCTATAATCATCAACATACGTTCTTTTATCACAAAACACTAAATTATAATACCAACTTACTAGAAATCATCGTTCAGATTTGGTAACTAGAAACAACGTAACGACTTTGTTATTGAATAGAGTTTCAAAAATTATCGTTATAAAAGTCGTTGGTTGAACCACAAAGCACGTATCTTCTAGAGACCCCACGCCAATGTTAAACTTTTAAACCAAATTAGCGCCACCTTGTGTTTGGAGCCGGAACTAAAATGACAATTGACAGATGGCGGTAAATTCAAACTGTAATTTTTAGGAGTAGTTAGTAGTTTTAAATTAAATTTCAAATGATTTCCACATAAATTATTTTATAAAATAAAGTGTGGAACTAGTAAGTTCGAAACTTTTATTTTACAAAATAATTTAGGTCGATTATACCAAATTTGAGGAATTAATTTGTTATAAGGGGTCTGATGTGGAGAGTTGGTTCTGCATATTATTATTAAATAAAATATAAGATATATCAATAAATAATCAATAGAACATTCTTAAAATATGTTTATTAATAGCTTAAATAAATATTATAGAACAAAATAAATATAAATAATAATACATATTTAACGAATACTTACTTTGAACAAATAGGTATACAATCTTAAATCTTTAAAGTATCAATATATTGAAATGTGAAGTAGAAACTAGGATATAACATTTTATTAACACTAAAGTTGTATTTTATAAATGTCTTTTTACCTGAAGGATAAATGTTATATAGGTATTGGATTAAAAGGTGAATCCTCTCTGTATCTGTAACGTGTGGAGGGTGGGTTACCCCCACGGCTTTTATGTTTCATTAGGCCCATTTTTCATCCTCCTAAGATGATAGACACCTCCTAGTTCGTGAGCCAGGAAGGTGAATCCTTTTAACTATTAATTCACTGATAATTTTTTCCTTCCAAATACAGATGGTATACTCTCTTATGTGAGAAATTATTTCGGAATCTAGTCCAGTGATAAATTGATTACCCGTTTGTCTTTTTATGATGCATGATAAATGAATGAAGTTTTTCTGCAAGTTTTCAACGTAGCACCAAAATTATTGCAAAACACAGTAGGAAATAGAAAAGCAAAACATCACAATTTTGCAAAAACTAAGACGAAACTATAAACAGAAACCAAAAGCCAAAGTCAACAAAAAAATCACTAAAATCAGACGGGAAAATGAGACTAACCAAAAACTTAAATAAATACACGTCACATCTTTGGATTTTGGATTCTTTGGTTAAGTTTTTCGCCCATAAAAAACTAAAAATGGAGTATGAAATAATAATTTCGCCAGTAGCCCCATCTAGAGTTTGGAGCAAATAGCATAAAAAATGTCAGTTGTCGGTTTTGACCTTGGTCATTCACGTGGAACCTCTATGTGCTTTGTGGGTTGAACTGTCGTTAGCTTAACGATGTCGTCCATAAACGATAAATTACTGAATAGGGCCCTTTTAGAGTTCATAAAAAAATAAGAAACTTCTTAAGGAAACATTTTTTTATTGGATTTCTACTTATTGGGTAACACCTACTTGAAAATTTTGCTGCGCGAAAAAAAGTTGGCCATATTATGTTTAGCTATAAAAAACGATTTTAGCCAAAATGTTTTCCCCAAAAACTATAAAACTTTTTCTTATAAAAGGCAATATTTAACTGTAACACTTTAATTTGAACACACGGTATATTTGTCATTTTTTTTGGAACGTAAAATAAAAATTCTACCAGTAGATATATTCATTTGTTTTTCAGAATCCTACAACACGATCTGGGGGTCGATTCTCGAGTTGTAGGAATTCGATTCCGAGGAAAATGAATTCCTATGATAATATTCCTACAGTTTTAGTTGTCGGTATTCTCGAGTACAATAGGAATCCAATTTCCTGTAGGAGTTCCAATTTCAGTATGTCGTTGATAATTTCAAGATAACGCAAAAACGAGCCAATGGAATGTATTTATTTCAGTTAAATATAGTTGTTTAACAGTTGGCAACAAGGCAATTTGACAATTTGTCAAAAATATTTGATTTTCTGGATGGTTATTTATTTTTAATATTTTTTATTAGCAGCAAAAAGAGAAAACGAAAAAGTTTCAGATGGACTACCATTGTGATTACCGTTATTCAGGGCCGAC